AATGGTAAGTGATTGTCGGCAGTTATAATTATCAGTGAAGGGAAACCTTAAAGAAAAGATGGTCACAATGTGAAGACTTTCTAGGAATTAGTGATTAATTCTCTTTTTGTTATTATATGGATTTATTTTATTATTAAAGGTTTTCCTGAAATTTGTACCATGGTATCAACATCAATTATAAGGATGTAATCATATATATGTAATCATATATATGTGCATATATATATATATATATATATATATATATATATATATATATATATATATATATATATATATATATATATATATATATTTATGCATACGTGTTCATTTATGCATACGTGTTCATTTTTATATATATATATATATATATATATATATATATATATATATATATATATATATATATATATATATGCATATACGGATATATGGATACCAGGAGCCAGAAACCCTCAATTTCTGGGACCTAGCAAAGTTCTAGAAAAGGAGGCCATTCTCGCTACCAGCATCAGCTCCTGAGCTATGAGGACTGACAGACATCTCATAGCCAGATTGATTGCAGCCAGATACCACATTGGAGTCACCCAGAACAATACAAATATCTGGCAGAAGACAGCTATCTGTCACAGATGCAAGTTTGGTGTAAAATATCTCTTTCACATCAAGTTTATAAACATCAGTAGGGAGCATACACAGCAATAAGAGACATGAAGCCAAACGTAGGCTTCAGTCTCAGTACCATTATAAGCTCCTCGATTGGAGTAACCTTAACTCTCAGGTGCTTCAGTTCCTTTGACAGTAGTGGTAAATGATCATCCTGTTGCAAAGAGCGGACATTCCAAGGCCCCACCCTGACAGCCCGCTTTAGGTCCAACCTTGGGCAGTCACTCTGGTGGACGCTACTTCTGCCACCTCTACTAACACTGCCCCATATAGCGAGGGTTGGCTGGCTGCAGGTCCCATAATCCACCTGTGGGTTCCTGTGGGCTTTGTCCCACAAGCCTTGTGCCAGGTTTGGAGCCACCAGAATGCAGACGGGTCAGATAACCTCATTCCCAGACAGGCTCTGGGACTCACAGCCTGTTTTTCTTGCTGGGTTAGAGGAATTTTTGCTCTCAGGACAGGAATTAGTATGAAGCCAGGGTGTATCCAGATGCTGGTAGGTCATGACTCTGTACCTTTAAGGCCTCCTCCTCCAAGAGCCTCCACAGTTCAGCCTAGGACTGCAAGATACCTAGTTTCCATGGGTGGCCACAAGGAGGCACTGCAGAAGTCATGATGGTGGAAAGGCTATGAACTGAAAGGGTAACTTATGTGGAGCTGCTCCCTTTTTCGCACCAGCTTAGCCAGCAGTGGGAACTGCAAACAATAAGACATGCAAAACACTATCTAGGCTATCACATAATTACTTCACATCACTCTAAGAATGAAGTGTGTGTGTGTGTGTGTATGTGTGTGTGTGTGTGTGTGTGTGTGTGTGTGTGTGTGTGTGTGTGAGTGAGTGAGTGAGTGAGTGAGTGAGTGTGTGTGTGTGTGTGTGTGTGTGTGTGTGTGTGTGTGTGTGTGTGTGTGTGTGTGTGTGTGTGTGTGTGTGTGTGTGTGATTTTTGTATATGTATATCATATGTAAATATATGTATATGTAAATGTATGTATATGTAAATATATGTATAATTGTTTATATGTTTGTTTATATCTGTATGTTTGTATTTAGCGTGTATATGTTTGTATGTATGTATATATATAAATGTAATATTTGTATATATATATATATATATATATATATATATATATATATATATATATATATATGGAGGTAATATTTGTGGACATATATAGATTTTACAGATATATATGTAATATATATATATATGTAATATATGTATATATGTAATGTATGTATATATGTAATGTATGTATATGTAATATGTATATTGTAATATATGTATGTGTATATATCTGAAATATGCATTTATATATAATATATAAATATAATATATGTAATATGTATATATGTCATATATGCATGTATATATATATATATATATATATATATATATATATATATATATATATATATATATATATATATACAGTCAACTCCCCGTTAACACGAGTTCCGATAACATGATTTCGAAGTTACGCGGGTTAAAATTTATTGAGATATATTCTGTTAGCGTGAAATGTTCAAAGATACACGGTTTGAATTTCCCGCCTACTGTAGTCGAATAGGGAGCGAGAGGCGAGGAGGAAGCACGTGGTGAGGAGAGAGAGAGAGGCAAGGAGGGAGAGCGGGATGAGGAGGGAGGGAGGCAGGCAGGCGACAGTGGTGAGGAGGGAGGGAGTGAGTCAGCTGACACTCCCGACACACCCGACAGTGGTGATGAGTCTGATGCATTGTAGGTTTATTTACATGAATAAATTTATGTTATTGAGTCTTCCAATAGTACAAATAATATACTACACAGTGTGTTTTTATTGATTTTGTAACCTTCAAATATATAATAATGTGTATT